AAATCGATCATACCTGCTATTGATTGGAGAGGAGTATCGCTTTGGCTCACATCATGTCATTCATATAACGTTGATATGGTTGAACTGAGAGCCCTAAGCTGTTCTAAGGGGTCGATTTTCCTTAATACTGACTCCTTTATTTTCTTTAGAATGATTGCTAAAAGATTTTCTGTTTGTTCACTTGTGTCAGTCTAGTTGTCTGGTTTAATGCGATTTTGTCTCGTCAGATAGCAGATGGTTTGTCAATTTATCGAATTGTTAGTTCACTTAGCGCTTACCACTATTACTTGTCTAAGAAGGCGATATTAGTCTGATTGCAAAGTAGAGTTTTTTTTTTATACGGAATATATATTCTGAGTATAGCCTTTAATGCATTCTACTTCAGCTGAGAGTATAATTCCAGTTGTTTGTTTAGTCTTCTTATTGAAGCAGGACAAAAGCTTCTCACCTCCTATGGGTGCAATGTCACAGTAATTAAATAAATTCAATTCCCAGAGGAAATCTGGGTCAAACACTTAAGTAAATTCATGTTGATCAAGTTTATCCTCCGCTGACCAGGTAAAACAACTCTAGATGGCAATTATACCAATTAATTCTCATCAAAAGACAATCTATTGGCGTAATTTACTATTTTCCTAATTAGTGAAGGGTTTTTCCCAATTGTGACCTACATGGCATCATAATCGTTGCCTTGACCTTCTCTTTCTTTGAACCTACACCCTTGTCAGCAATTGTTTGAATCCTGTTGATTCCTTGAAGTGTAGAAACAAAGAGCACAAAGTCTCTGGATGTGCATATTATCGTTTGGTCAGTGGGTTGAAATTCAATACTGTCAACTTTTGATATAGTGTAATCATCATCCAGTGTCAGCCATACTAATTCATTGTCACAACTAGTTTGGCTGGCCAAGCAAATAAATGCCTAAAGTCTGCAGTTCAGCAAATCCATCATCCAACAATTCATTAATGAGTACTAATCTGTAATCTGACAGGCGGTCTGAGGCTGGATCAAGACGGCTGTTCTAGGTGCATACTACTGAGGTTCATAAAACCAAATAGAGTATTCGTCATAGACTGATATCAGTTGAAGAACTATTGGAGCTCGAAGTACTGGTCAACTGCTTTTTCATCCTAGTTTGGGACTACTTAACAGCACGTACCCATGGTACCACCACGGACCACACTCAATGCCTTCAGGTTTCACGGCGAACGCATTAGCCATCTAGCTAGTATGTCGGAGTTTAATGGTTCACAGTTTCCTACTTCTACCAATTCGCGAAATATCGTGATTACCACCCAAGGTCTTCATTTGGCATTCGCTTCACTTCTAACTGGTTAACAGACCCCACAGGTCCCGGCTTCTTATCAGAACTTCGGGATATTCTTTTCGAGGCATTTCATTATTGAGCACTATACAGTAGAGAAAATACTATCTAGGAAGAGATCAATGCAGATGAAACCAATGAAAGATAGTAAAGGAAACCTAGTCGCCAAAGAGGAGAAACAAAGGAAACAACGAGCCAACCACTTCAAAAACTGTTGAATCGACCACCATAACCACTTGCAAGTCGTCCACAAATACCACCAGCAGCGGAGTTACGGAACTATCAGTGAACATAAGGCCTCCGACGAAAGCCAGAGTGAAGTCCTGTACACCATAAGGTTGCTGAACTACGGGAAAGCAGCAAGACCAGATGGAATTCCGCCAGAAGCATTGAAAACAGACGCAAAGACAACAGTGGACACTCTCACACCACTATTGCAGAAGGTTTGCAAGGAAGGAAAGAAAGGTACCTGGGGATTGGAAGAAGGGCTACCTTGTCAAAATCCCAAAGAAGAGTTGGCGACATAAGTCTTTGCAAGAACTGGCGCGGAATCGTGCTACTGGCCACCCCAGGGAAAATGTCATGCCGCATCGTCTTGGAGAGACTAAAAGGTGCTCTGGAGTGAGGAAGAACAAGTCATGTGCGGATCAAATTGCAACGCTACGCTACACATCATCATAGAACAGAGCGTAGAATAGCAGTCAACTCAACTCTCTCTCAACTTCATCGATTTTGATAAGGCGTCGACCAAGAAGTAAGTTGGAAACTGCTTCAACACTACGGAGTACCATAAACCTTTGTCAACTTCATTCAACAGCTATATGATGACGCCACATACCGAGTGATTCACAGTGGAGGGCTCAGTGACGCCTTTGAAGTGAAGACTGGTGTATGACAAGGCTGCTGCCTACTATCACCCATGATCTTCCTGATTATGGTCGACTGGATTATGCAGCAAACCGTGAGCAGCGAGAAGATGGTCACATGCTGTTTAACCGATGCGATGAAAGGAGCTTAAAAGATTTGGATTTCACCCACAATGATGATTTATGTCTAGTGTCTTGTTGCACAAACTCCAAGGTCTACAGGCGAAGACTAACAAGTTAATAGGAGAGACAGCGAGGACGGGAATTCCTTAAGATGAACGTAGAGAAGACAGAGGTGATGAAGATGCCCAACCAACAACAAGCACCACTCATTATGAACGGGAGAAATCTAAAGGAAGTTATGTCTTTCACCTAGCTACTTAGACAACATCGTTTCAACTACAAGTGGCACAGACGAGGACGTCAAAGTCAGGATCGGAAACACAGCAAGACAGGCCTTCATAAATCTTAAATCATTGTGGAGATCTACTGTACTCACCATACAGCGTGAACGACATCGGGATTTTCAACACGAAGTCAGTCAAGTAAGTCAGTGCTTCCATGTGATGGTTGAGAGACTTGGCACCTTACGAATAGCTTTTCCAACAAATTACGGAAATACATGACATCAACAGCTGCCGCCTACGCTCACTCGATACTGACACTGAAGATGAGATGGGATCAGATCAGATCAGATGGCCAGAATAATAAGAGTAAACAACGAGGAAGTCACTCTGGGAACAAACCAATCAACGAAGAAGGTATCGCCCGACAAATGTGCAGAGGAAGAAAATGGAGATGGATTGGATTGGACATACACTGAGAAGACCATTCGGGTCATCAAGTACCAGTCTCTGGAGTGGAATCCAAGGGGTGAGGGTGACATGGAGGATATGGTGTGAGGAAGAAATGAAAAGTGGTGGTGGAGCCATTTTGAAAAGAGTGAAGAGAAGATAGTGGAATGGCAACGTGCTACTGAAGCCCTATGTTCCACTAGGAACAAGAACAAGGAAAAATAATAAACAGTAATAACAACATGTTTGCAGTGCAGTTTATATGATGTCTAATATAATCACATCGTTTATTCCTCTTTGAACACAAATATTCCTATATTTAATTCATATTCGTATGTATTAAGTTAATACTGCCCCCAACGACGAATATATTCACATAGATATTTCCTTAATAAGTCAATAAATCTATTTATGAGTCAATGTATGAAGTGGTTATGTTTATCTAGAGTGATTATCTACTTGAGTGAGCTACTTCACTTTTTCGTGCCAGTGAATAAAAGGTGTTCCGTCTCTTACTCCATCCTCTGTTCCTCATATAACTGATTATTTTGCATCTTCTTCTTCCTTCTGTTTTCCCTAAGAAGATGAATAATCTTAGATATAATCATTGAAGTGATTGTTTCACGTCACTACTACAAACCTGTCAACAGACTATGAACAATAACAAGCTGTCCAGCAAGGAAGCTTCCATTCAGAGTTGCTTATCATCACATTTTATTGATGTACAATACACGAATTTAACTTTTAGCACTGGTAGGCTATTTTAATACCCAAAGATGAATTCGATTTGAAGGTTTGTGGGGATTTTATGGATTTCAAGTTGGTAAACCTCTAAAGTGACTCATTGTCCAACGTTTATTAATGACTTACCTCGAGGGGTGATTCTCGAAGTTTTAATGTGAAGTCCTAGCCGCTGGGCCAACCAAGTCGAACTTGTAGACAAGTACTCAACGACGACATTGGATAGAGGTTTCACTATATCGTTAACCGGCAGAAATAGTAAACATGGATCACTGGATTCCGACCCAGTGACTCAGTGGTGACGTGCTGACCATGGAACCCGAAGTTCCTAGATTCGATCTCTGGTGAGGTGATGGGTGTTCACTGTTGAAGCATCCCCTACTAGTGGTACGAAACAGCTGTCAAGTGCTTCTAGGTTTCCAATGTCTCTCCAGTTAATGTCAGCTCATGATGAATACCAACCCGAAATAATTCTGACTAATGTGAATTAACTACTCTAAATATACGGGATTCGGTTTCATTCCATCTATTATTCATTGTTAGAATATATATATGCATTCGTAATCATGAAGACTGACTGATAGAGAAATTTAAAATTTTCGTTTTTGCATATTTGGGTGAATGTTAGTACTTTTCAGTGATAGATGTTCCCCCTTCGGTTATTAATCGAGCCCAGCACCGAAGCGTAATCCTTGAAATTCTTAAATAACAATGGGCACTACCTTCATGATACATAAGCTTTCACCTTGACATCGTTGATTGGCTCAGGTGTTGTTGTCATTGTATAACCTCCTGTCTGAAATTCCCCCGTATTGTTACTTTTATAGGAATGATGAATGACGGCTAACAGTAAAATCTCGAAGGAAACTCGGAAAAAACTACATTTCTGACAAGATTTAAACACACGCTCAACACTTGTTGTTTATTGACACTTAGTTTTCTAATGTTATACTGCGTCGAAATGTTCGACCTCTGTTGTTAGATGGGCTTCTGTGTAGATACTGATACCTTAAATGGCCTAACGCATAATCCTTCGGAGTTTGAATATTTAGTTCGAGTACCTGTAGGAGAAAGTTCACTCATTGAGGTGGAGATACATCTAAATGATGAGTCCCAAGTGGGGTGAAATGCGCTTACTGGCATCCACTGCTAGGCACTTCTAAGGAGATAATATTTACCTGACTCATTCTCTTACTATTCTTATCTTACACAAAATTAATGGCTGTTATTCAATAATATTTTTTTTCCTTTTATAACTTCAAAATTATTTTATAGAGAGATTGTCCTTCTGGTCAGTTGAGTAAAAAAAAATTCATTGAAGTCTATTCAGGCTTCTTTCCTGACGGTGATGCAGAAGAGTTTTGTACTCATGTTTTTCGAACATTCGATAAGGATAATTCTGGAAAAATTGATTTCAAAGAATTTCTATTGGCAATCAATATTACATCAGGTGGTAAACCTGAAGAGAAACTTGAATGGGCATTTCAAATGTACGATATCAACGGTAATGGAACAATTGAAAAACATGAAATGGTCGAGATAATTAAAGTGAGTAAATATACTATACAATAATGTTCTCATTTTTGACTATCTGAGTTAGCCGTAATTTGACAGACTGGTATCTATACTAGGTGATCATTGGAGGTGCAGTGAAACTTTGTACTGCAGAGGGATTCGAACCAGCGACCATTGAGTTCCCGACCTGATGCCCTACTAACTAAGCTGCGAGGTCAGTTCGTAGAGCACCGGATCCAAAACCCAATGGTCGCTAGTTCGAATCCAACCGCAGTCCAAATTTTCATTTCACCTTCAATCATCACCTGTTTTCATTACGCATCTGATTTATTGATTCTGAGAACATTTCACCAGAACTTTGAACCCTATGAGTAACTGCAGATGGCCTTTCCACTCAGTTTCAGTCACTCATTATTTTTTAAGTCTATTATCCCTTGAAAGCTTCTTCTTGCAGTTATGTCGGATTGTACAACCATAGTCCTTGCCCTATTCAACTATAGTTAACACTAGAGAAGGAATTTAGGTACCAGTGAGTGTTTATGTTTGGCACTGCAACAAAATTACATTGCATGCTGATATCAAGCAATAGGTTAGACCTACTGCATTAGGACTAATAAAACCTCCTGACTACCCAAACTTCCACGTGTTGAGCTCGGCCGGAACCGGTGAAAGCCGACTCCTTAGACTGATCAGCCACAGAAGGTTCAATTCAGTAATACGGAAGAAGTCTTAGACAATTCCTGGTACAGACCTGTGTACTGTTATCATTTCTACCTACAAATCAAGTAAATGAAAGCCGAATGAGTGAATAGGCATTTCAGACAAAATCCTTCTAGACAGTCAAACGATTAAATGCGGTAGTCTTTTTCAAAGACTCTAATACATGAATGCTATAGTTGATTTATTGTGAAGAGCTATTGGAAACACTTAAAAGGATTAAGTTGGCCCAAGTGACTACCTGCGAATATCTACTTCAGAAATATGAAGAAGAAGTAACCAATCTAGTAGCCATCAAACTGAACTCAGTGCTGTAAAACAAAGATATGTCTTTATGTGATACTAATGAAGGTTATTTGAAGATGATGGATTCATTCAAAGCAGTGTCTTGGATACCCACTATGACATAGCTCATACTAGAACTAATCTGCACCTTAAATGGTACAAGAAGATTACAAGCAGAAGACTTTATCAAACTCACCTTAAAGATGAGAATGTGAAAATCACGTTTAAGAGCGGATTTTTCTGTAGGTTTGTGGAGGTGTATTAATTGATTTTAAGTTCGAATTCATTATAGACTGATATTAGTTGGAGGAACACTGGAAACCCAGGAGCACTGGACAGCTATTTCGTCCTGGAATAGGACTCCTCAACAGTGCATACTCATGACCCCACCAGGGATCGTATCAGTACGTGGCCAGCAGGCTATCATTGACCACTGGGTCCTACTTCTGTCACTTCACGATATAGCGCTACCTCCATCCAATGTTGTCGTTGAGTATCAATCCTCATGTTCGACTTGGTGGCTCAATAATAAAGTGCTGGCCAAGGAACCAGAAGGTCCTAGGTTCCATCGCTGGTGGGGTCTATACTAAGACGAAACAGCCGTCCAGTGCTCCCAGTTTCTAAGGTTTCTCCAACTGATGTCATTCCAGGATGAATTCCAATCTAAGAGAAGATTTGTTTAACACCGAACAATGGTCATCCTTATGATCAGCTACAAATCTTCTGTACTACTTAGAACATCTCTTTATGATGTCAGTTGGACTAAGTCAGAAGTTACTCAAGTCACTTCACTTCTGCCTAATAAATTTTCCATGGCATATCTCTATAAATGCACCCGAATTTCATGTTGGGGGGAAGAACAAAACAATATGCACTTTAAGTTGTTATTCATCGTAGACTGACATCAGTTGCAGGGACAAAGGAAATCTGGGAGCACTGGAAAGCTGTTTCGTCCTAGTATGGGACTCCTCAGCAGTGCGCACCCACGACCCAGCCAGGGATCGGTTGCCTATATCATGAGCTAACAGAAGTTGGAAATATGGAGCATTGGATTCTGACCCAGTGACTCAATGGTAACGCGCTGGCCGTGGAACCTGAAGGTCGCGGGTTCGATCTCTGGCGGGGTCGTGGTGCGCACTGCTTATGAGTCCCATACTAGGATGAAACAGCTGTCCAGTGCTCCCAGGTTTCCTTTGTTCCTCCAACTGATGTCAGTCTACGATGAATAACAACTTGAAATATTTCCAAATCTCCACAACTCCCTCAAAATATACATTTTAGCTAGTTGGTTATTTGAAACGAAATTTACTGTTCACAGGACAATGTCAGTTTTCAGCTATACCGTTGAGCAATTTTTTTTCACTTCTCTACTTAACAATAAACATTTTTCACGGTTGTTAGGTTTGAAAATGGCCTGATATCGGTTGTTATGTCAACGGTGGTAAAGAATAATGTTTATTGAAGCGGTAAATCTAACTCCAGTAACAGCCTGTGTTACACTTAACTCAATGATTTACAAGTAACATTTCAATATAAATATCCCCCCCCCACCTATTTCTTTTTATCAGTGAATTATTTATATTCACTCTGTTTGAAATGGTGTCCACCTGAGAGTCAACAAGCGAATTACAGGTAAAAAAAAACAGTTTAGGCATTTGCATATCTCTCATATTTTAAACCGCGAGCAATATGGCCTAGGAGTGAAAATCCAGTTCATATTTGAGTGATTTTAATTCTAAGATTGAACAACGTTTGTTTCTCTCAATCTATCAGTGATATCCCGCTTGCACACTTTTTCCTGTTGTGGATTCATCAGCCCCCTGAATCTCAATGATTGATGATGGTTCCACCACCCCCTTTAGAACTAAGACACTTCATCCATCAATTCAAATGTAACTGGAGCCAGCCTTCGCTAGTTTACTTGGACACAGTGGACACTCCCTATTCAACGGTTAATTTGTTTGAGCTGAACTGACCGATCAGTGTTAGCATTTAGACTGATTTAGGGATATTGCTGATCAATTTTATTATGAGAATAATTGTCTGTAGTAGTTAACTATGGAAATCAGGGGGTTTGTGTTATTTGAGGCCCTTATCTCATTGAATAACTATTTTCTCTGACCCCCCTCTGAAGTTGCTTGATGATGGATTGATCTCACTCAACTCGCAGTGATTAGTTCTGAAATATAAGTCATATATGAATGCATGTGGAGTCAACTGAAAGCTCCTGAATCTAGTAAGCTGTACAATAACATTACCATAAGCAATGTGTCATGTATTCATGTATTTTAAAATATATCAACATGTAATAAATGGATAAATTGTTAATGTTATTGCTTATATTATCCTGGCATTGAGTGAGCCTAACTGGTCGGTTTCTAATGGCATGTCTGCTCCTGTACGGATGCCTCAATACTGCTTGCTTTTCATTTACATATATTTATGATGGTTAGTAGCTACCAGTAGAATCCAGGACACTTGTTTCCTCTTATTTAGGACTTGTCAGCTGGATTTACCTGCCTCTCAGTGACTGACATTGGTCCCACTAGAACTTGAACTAGTAACCGATTGCTTCAAACTCTAGAGCGCTACTGACAGACCATTGAGACATGATACCCGTTTCGCATGCAATGGGTATAGTTTTAATCTATAACTGGAACACAGGCAATATCCAGGCATATGTGAAGCAGCTCATATGCCAATAGAGACCGATCAATTCGGTCCAATCAGCGACGGGATAATACAAACAACAAAGTGGCTACCGTGACTCGGTAGTCTAATGAATAACGCTCCAGTGCTTGAAGCAGTCGATCTCGAGCTAGAGTCCTAGTGGAAACAAAATCACTCACTGGGAGGGAGTTATATGCATCTGTTGAATCCCGAATAAGATGAAACACGAGTCCTGGATTCCACTGCCAGCCACTATCCATCATAAATATAATAAATTATGAGTTTAAACGGGAAAAGAGAGAGGGTAATTTAGCAACAAACTTCTTTTGAGTGCTACAAAAATGTTTTAACTTCAGTGTAGCCAGAGCTTCCATAATCCTAAGTATGCATCTCGCTAAAGTAAATATGCTATTCGGCAGGCATGGAGTCAGTAATGTCAGTAGTATGACTGCGTTCAACATACATACATACACACACACACACACACACACACTAGAATGTAGCGTTGCCTATTCTTCATTTAATGTCAAGATAAATTCTTTTATGAATGACATTTGTGTCATTTCTTTTTTGGTCAAAATTCATCTTGTCATAACTTTCAGTTAGGTTATGTTTTGTTTAAATTATTGATTACTAAAATAATCAATAAATGGAACAAATCGATAAATAAAGAAAAACATACGTGGAACAAGAAGGAAATATGTTGGTTGTTATCATATTCGATCACAGATAGATGATTAAACTAGTCAGAAGTGAATTTCACAATTTTACAAACATTTTTTTCATCTCATAATTCTGTACTGTAGGCATGTTTTTATGCATGTGTAAGTTGTGGAGCTAAATGGGCAGATTTAAATTTTTTGCCAGCAAAAAAAATAGTTTTTGTAGGGTAATCACTGACCGTTGTGTCGTGTGAAATACTGGATGAGGATTGGGAGTGAAGTGAAAATCTTGGTCATGAAAGGATTCCCTTCGAGTTTCTGGCTTAGTACTCTACCAACTGAACTATGAGATCCTGTGATTGAAGTGAAATTAGGATATGATCAGAAGTTGGTCATTTGATAGAGCACCGGGTTGATAACCTGGAGGTTGCTGATCCATACCCTGTCGCTAGTCAGGTTTTTATTTCACTTTCAATCATCATTGAGTATCAATACTACAAGTCTGGCAAACAACGACTATTTCAAACGGTCAAACTGTTCATCAGTATGATACTCCGGACCAGTCTAATGTAGCTTGATTTGTAATAGAAAAGGAAGTGCTGTATGGTTCGAATCCTGTCACTGCACAGATTTCTATTTCATCATCAGGCTAATTTGTACGAAACTTGTTCTACAAGATATTTGAGTAAAATAACTGATGAAACATGAGCAAATAATTATTATGAAGATCAGATTACAATAGAATCGGTTAAACGCTTTTGCTAAATGAATGAAAAGGGTTGATTTGCACTACATGTACTCCCCTTCTTCTTCTTCTTTCCAAGCCTGTGTATAAATGTTATGGATCGAAAGGTTAGGGTGAGTAACTAACCGTTGTTGTTACTCAAACCCAACCATGAAGTTTAGCAGTACCTATTTACTGAAATCACTTTGATGGATGCTAATTGGTTGGAGGTAATCAGCAGAAAGACCTGCTTAAACTAAGTTTCATGCTTGTTGGCACTAGTTAGCAATGCATTTCTGCAACCTGATAAGAATTGATACCTCGGGCTTCTAACATTCTAACCCGAGTGAATGACCTCCTCTAAGACTTCGATTAAATTACCAATAACCTTGTCATTTAATGACTGAAACTTCAATTGTCACCTTTCGATAGGTTAATTTTCATTTATCTGAATAATATAGGCAAAAATATCAGCAAAGCAATACTATTCATGTTCATTATCAGAAGTATCATTTTATTTTCTAAGAATCAATTTATCAATTAAAGTTTACTCTTTTTCTGTTTGTTGAAGTGATCCAATTGAAAAGAGTATGCCTTATCATTATCAACTTCGTTTTCTTTATACTTTAGGCAATCTACAGTATGTTAGGCGCAGATGAGTCAACTGTAGATCTTAGTCCAGAAGCGCGTACTGATGAAATTTTTGAAAAGATGGACAGTAATGCTGATGGAGTTTTAACTAGAGAAGAGTTTATGGATGGTTGTATGGCTGATAAACAACTCTATTCTATGCTACTTGCTGACGAACCCGCTGAATAAATTTATAATAATAATAATAATAATTACTATTAATTATTACTATATTTTATTTCATTTATAATATTTTATTTGTTTGTATGTCTTATTTGCTTGTTTGTTGGTCTGTTTACTTTTCTAAGAAAAAAAACACAAAAAGAAAGAAAGTAGGCAAATAATCAAAATTTGAACAGACAAATCAATAATGGCCTATTTATTAATTTATTGATTTTTTTTATTTTATTTAAAATAACATCAAAGTATATATCTATGATGAATATGCACAATCAGTTAACAAACAAATAAGAAGTTATCAGTAAAGTAATTAAAAAGACAGATGCCGACATGATTCTTCATGATAATGATCAATAATTCTTGGATGAAATTGTGTTTTTTGAGATATAGAAGTGAATCAATGCAAAACATTTCCTCTGATTTGTTTTACTTTGATTTTTTTTTCTTTTTTTATGTATTGTATATTTTGGAAAAATGGTCTATCGTCTTCTCATATTGTTAGTAGTACACCACTAGTTATCGAATAGTTATGCATATTTTCAGATGAATATAAACAATCAGAACTGCATATACATAAATACATTCTAGAACAAGTTATACTACTTACATGATGCATATACTACTTAATAATTAATGAGATGAAACGAGTGAGAAAAAGAAAACAATTTTATAATTATTTTGCTTTACTGCATACTTCATATACACGCTAGCTTATATTTTTTTTCGATTAAAGAAAAAATACAACTACACTTATAATATAGTTAACAATATTCAAACTCTGCGCGCCATTTGTCATGATCAATATTCAATTAGGTTGAATTTCATGTTTACGTAGTAATTATACTACAAAATGAATATATGAGTAGAAATAAATACTATGTAGGCTATACATACTACTCTTCAACAAATCAGTAGGGTGAACTTTTAATTCGGACATCAGAGTTATGCCAAACTAACACACTTAACATACAGGATAAGAAAATGTTCATTTGTTTCGTTTAAATGGAAGCCTTCTCATCAGTTGTTTCACTTCGCCTTTTTTGTTTGTTTGAATTCTCATCCCTTCGACTACATCGAGTTCGTTCATCTCTCATTAATTTTATGATTAAAATAGTTATACTTTTGTTCAATTTTTTTTGATTACGCTACCATCTTATGTTCAGTGTTAAATATTCTATTTTCTTCTCACATCGAACTGTTTCTCGATAAAATTTTACGATTTTCTTCTCTTCTACCTATTGACAATGTTATATTTTATAATCTGTTTTTTTTAAACAAAAAAATAATGTGTATACAAAACATTTTCACATATAATTCCTTCTTTGTGTTTTCATCAAGTGCATACATGTCTGCATTTGTTTTACTGAATGAATGCAATAATTATACACGTTATGCGGGAGAATTAAATGTGTACACAGAAAGCTATATAAGTACAAATTAAGTGATGAATACGGTTTGAAACAAATGTAATAAAATGGCACAAAATTGGAGTCAAATAGCTATTTATATGATTTTATAAATGTTTTCATGCCCCCCCCCACCACCACCACTGAATGTCTAAGGAATTAAAATGATATTGATTTTCTTGTCTTTATTCCACTTTTTTTTTCATTTCACAAAAATCTACCGTGTACATTATTAAACTTTCCAACCGTCTAATAATATTTTCAAGTTTAAATCAACTATTCATTTCTGTCTAAGCTCATTGCTTAACTAGTCTAAATAAAGGGGAGGGCGGGGGGGGATTTGAGCTTGTTTTTAACTCTTTCGCAGAAATACTACCATCTCGCGTTTTTCACTAACTTCTAGTTCATCATGACACTTTTTTTTTTGTTTTACATTGATTACCCAATTTTCTTATCTCTGTGTGTTATTCCTTCAGCTACAAAAAAAAATGTTCAGTCATCTTCGGTTTCCTTAATATTTAATGTTTGTTGTGTTACTTCTTTCTGAAGTCGAAAAAGTGAATAGTGTGTAGGCTGAGTTGGCATACTGTAATGCTCGCATGCGCATTTTGCTTTATTCCTTGTGTAATAGCACTATGGTTGCCAACATTTTTGGCATAATTATCTACAATTCTGTTTGTTTGTTTTTCACTTCTCCTCTCTTCTCTTCTCTTTAATGGTTTTGAAATGCAAATAAAAAGGAAAATATGCAAGAGATGGAAAGTGTTTTTTTTTGATTCCGCAGAAACCAAAATACTAATTTATAGTGATTTCAGTTTTGTTTCTCGTCTACATAGACAATATATGTATTGTTTGTTTTGCGTGGGCTTTCAGTGTAGAGGTCTACTGCACTCAGCCCAAAGAACAAGATTTCTGATTTTCAGCACTAATATCAAGTCAGTGCTGCTATGTGGTGGTTCAGAAACTTGGCGTGCCACGAAAAGCATTTCCAATAAACTACAGATATTTATTGACAGCTGCCGCCAATGCTTACTGCATACTGAAGATGGAGATTAGATGGCCAGAAGGAATAAGCAACAAGGAACTCTGGCTGACTGGTTAGCTGCCTGTCAACGAACCAACTAACGAAGAACCTGTTGGCCAACAAATGTGCCGAGGAATGTGGAGATGGATTGGGCATACACTGAGAAGGCCGACTGGGGTCATCACATGCCAGGCCAGGCACTCGAGTGGAATCCAAACACGAAACGACGAGTTATGCATCTAAGGGTGACATAGAGGAGATGGTGTGAGGAAGAAATGACAGCTTCTGGTCATTCGTGGGGCCAGGTTGAAAAGACTGCAGAGAAGATGGTGTAATGGAGATGTGCTGCTGAAGCCCTATGTTCCACTAGAAACCCAATGGAAAATAATAATGGTGAATTGTTTTTGCGTGCATGTATGTGTTCAGCCGTCAAGTGACATCATAACTCGGAGTGTGAATAGATTTCTGGCAACTACTGCTCAGTCGTCGGAATATTCATCTTTCATTAATCGAGTTTAGTTTACCTGCTTATCATATTCCTGAGTTAACGCAGTTACCAATCTGTTATAACTTTGTCTGGCTGCATGCGATTCTCACAGAATCAAGTATTAACGCCGCCTAGTCTCGAATACACTCTCCAAGGCTTGTGAACTCAATGCAGCTGTACGATGAATCATACAATTCTGCCCTTCTTTGCAATTGCTTACAACATAACACACGATTTGGTGCTTATTGTGTTTACGTTCAGGTGTGATCTGATTCATGTACAACGAAATTACTTAGCCACACAACGCACCATAATTCATAAAAATGGGACAAAATTTGCGATAATACATGATCATGAGTTTCACTCAACATGCAGTGATTATTTCTGAAATATGGGTCATATATGAATGAATGAGGGGCTACCGAAAGCTCTTGAACCCAGCTATATAATAATATTACTGATTAACTCATAAGTAGAACAGTTTTCCAAAATAAACGAAATAATACAACCGATGGCTTTTATCTGAGATTCACATTTTTCAATTTTCCTCTAATATAACACTTGTAACACTGATTACTCACTTAGTAGGTTCAACAAGAGACACGCGACCTACGGAGAACAGTCATACATATAAATAGTGTGCATAGTGGGAATAAGATGTACTGCTTATGGTACTTCACCACTAGGATTAGGGTGGTATTTAAACCTACAAACCCATATCTCAAAGCATATCTCAAAGTTGTGCAGTTATCTTGATATGACTATGGACAATAATTTCTGTGAGAAATGTAATGCAGTGAACAACACTGTTACACTGTGTATTAAATCAAATAAACCAAAGGAAAAAAAGGATTATATCTAATATAGTGCTCAAACTTCACTCGTATACTAATAAAAAGTGTGACCTTGCCAGTGGATTTATAAAGTGAAGTTTCGGTGAAAGTACAATTCACAGGGGAATGCAAAACTGCAGAGGTTATAAACTTCTATACAGAATCATAGAAATGCACAGTGATGAACAATTCCCAAGGGTATTATTTGGATTGCATGATAACAAATTCGATGGACTGCGGTCTATTTTGGTGGTAAACAATGGAATCCTGGATGCACTTTTTGTCCTAATAGGAACTTGACAGCTGGATATACCTGAACCCAATCGTCTCAGACTCTATCGCTAGCCATCAAAAAGACCACAATATAATTAGTATCGAGGCAGTATTGAGGCCTATGCATAGGAGCTCATCTGCCAAGAGATGTTGAACAATGCAACCCAGTGTACCAACGGGAGATTACAAGTATCAATAAACAATAACACATGCGTTTTGCACAAGAGTTGTCTCATGTGAACCAGTGGCCAAGTGAGTAACGCCCTGATATTTGAAGCAGTAGGTACTAGGTTCGAGTGATGGTGGGAACAATATCACTCTATGGGATGCAGGCGGATCCAGCCGACGAGCCCCAAGCAAGATTAAACGTGCATCGTAAATTCCACTGCTAGCGATAAAGCAGACTACAACACGATCAGTTGTGTTTTTTGACTTTTAGACGTCAATCTGCAAGAAGCACCTCTTAATAAGTCACGGGAAAAGTAATCTGTAGTCTGTACAATACAAGTACGAAGGCATCTGAAGAATAAAATAAGCTCATTTTATTTCATGGCCTTTCATCATCCGCAAACAGCCTACAACTGAAACGAAGTATCAGTAGCAGTAATGTCACAACACACTTTAAATATGTTGGAATAAACGGAGGTTTGAAATCCACGAATAACAATAAGGCAATGAGTGAATCAGGGAAACACACGATTAATAGTTACATATCTTAGTCAAAATCAATGGCAATTTCTGTATGATGAGATGGAGAATTCTGGAGCTGTGGAGTAGTAGGTGACAACAACCGAAGATCAGCATCAAGAAGACACTATTTAAGAGCCGATAAGTTACTCAATTAAATGGAAAACTTGAAAATCATTAGGTGATTATTATTATTATTATTATTATTATTATTATTATTATTATTATTATTAGTCCCTTGGGTTCCTAATGGAACATACCGCTTCTGTAGCACGTCTCCAGTGGACTCTGTTCTCTGAAATCTTTTGAACCTGGCCCCACGACTGCCCACAAGTTCTCATTTCCTCCTCGCACGATCTCCTCCATGTCACCCTCACCTCCCACGCCCAACTCGTCTCTTCCCATGGGGATTCCACTCGAGGGCCAGACGCCGATGTCCCAGTTGGCCTTCTCAGTGCATGCCAAATCCAT